TAGATCAGAAGCCGAAAACTGTATATAAGATGTTAATAATTTACATATATAGGGGATATATCATTGGCCCACTCAATATCTTAAGAGAACACATTACTTGTTCTTAACCACATTCAAACTAGGACCACTTTGTAACGAACACATGCAGCCACGTAGAAATGGATTAGTTATACTGTGATTACAATAATACAGTACTGTTGTTTAGAACCGAAAACATAACAAAGTGAATCGGCTAGATGTTCACGCACACACACACATGTAATGATGGAGTTTGAAGGATCTCTATGTAAAAAGATGGTAGCATAGAAGCTGGACAAGAGAATAACTTGACACAATACTTTTGGTACACAATAACTAAAAAATAACACTTTAAGGACTAAGTGATCGGAAGTATTATTTCAACAAAATTGATAATCAACTCTAGAAATTTTTGTTGTTTACATTTTTTAAGATCATAAACGTAAAATTATAATTAAAAAAAAAACAACTAAAGAGAATTTACGTATACATGTTGATAAATGCTGCATTTGATCATATATCATTTTTTATTATCAAAATGAACATCCAAATAAACATTTAGAACAAGAAAATATCATTTTGTGAACAATATTGTAAATAATAGTTTTTTTGGCATATGGCAAATTGGGATATTGATGGGTCTACCATGTTGCTTGTTGCGAGTTCAAAATAAGGCTATAGAATCCACTCTGTTTCTCACTGTCTTTGTGACCAAAACAACAACAATTTCACGTGAACGATGGGAACATTTTTATTGTTTTCTTTGAACTAAGAATCTTTTTGTTGACTTTAAAAGACCAAGTTTAGAAAGATGAACTATTTTACTCTTAAATCTATGCAAAACTAAGACTTATCTATACGTCTACAATTTTTACGTGGAGTGTTTGTTTATAAAATAATCGAACTTGTCCTGATCAGCTGGGTCAAGATTTCAAAAACATTGCTCTTATGAATCCAATAGCTGCCTCAAAAGAAAGAGACTCATCAAGTCATCATGATTCATGACAATGAATCACATGGCAACATTCAAAAAAGCCTCTTTTAAATTTTTCAGAATCAGGCTTTTGAAGTTTGAGACAGAAACCAAAGATTTTCACAGCTTGAAAGTAGAACAAACAT